AATAATTCCATGTAGATAAAGATATAAAATATATAAATGTTCAAATCCAATCCGACTTGTGGATAAATCCAGTAAATGATTGCGCTTACCACAAAAAACATACAAACAGAGCGTTGTATGTATAAGATGGACATCAGGGCCTGGTCAGCAACTAGAACAGCATCCGGTCACCATATGAGACTTCCAGGAATGGTGAAAACCCCCCCACGGTCATCTCCGGTTTCACCAGCAGGTCCAACGAAGTCCTCTCCACGCACTGCTCATCTGGATCACACCACCTTGGTAGGGCTCATGAATAATGAGCCAGAGCAAAATGGGCAATGATAGTGAAGTATGTTTTAATGGGTGAACAGTAAAATATATAGTAAAGAACTCACATAATCGGAAAAACACAGCCCAGGTCAAACGAAAAGGTTCCCTGGTGATCTGTGGTTCCCTGGTAATCTAATGGCGTCTGTTGGGTGGATCCCCTAACATGTTTCGAGCCACGCTCGTTGTCAAAGGGGTAAATCCTATCCCAAGGACGCCAGCATTTAAAAATACCGCGGTCGCGCCTGCGCAGTGAGCACCTCGCGCCGCTGAAATGAATAGCGCATGCGCGGGTGACATCACTCATCAGCCGCCGCCGAACCCTATTGCGCATGCGTAGGCGCATGCGCAGGACCCATAATGAATCTCCCTCACACAGCCATCCGCCCGCAAGTAAGCGGGCAAACTCCAAAGGGAAAGCCACATTGCGCATGCGCAGGCGCATGCGCCATCGTCACTAAAGGACGAAAATTAAAATATCAAGTCTCCCAACCCTGATGGGCGGGCATATAAACACAGGGAGGTAAATAAGGAAGCCCAGTTTACCTAGCAACCACAGCGCCCCCATGATATTCCAAATCATTAATATAAAAATGAAACACTAATAACAGATGTTATGGTATTCTTAAAGGGACCACAGATCTTAAACAAATAAATTGTTACTACATGGGAACAACCATTATACTGCAATCCAGGGACACCCCATCAGATACAAGCACAATGGGGTGCCCAATGGATACAGAGCCCCCCAACAGGAGTCTATACCATAAATATACATTACATCATAATATAATACAATACATATCAATGCAACCATATGATCGTACAATCATATGACTTGTAACCCCGTACAATAACAATCAATTGGAATTTAAAGTAGTGTAAATCAATAAATAAATATTAATGTGTAAAAAACATCCTATACTATTCATAAGTGGACACATAAAAATGATAAAATACAATAAAATGAAGTAAAACCTTTTGTTATCCCCCTTATTCATATGAGTAGGGCACAGATGATATACATAAATGAAAAAATTGACATCAGATAAATACAATAAGATGATAATAGTAGAAACTGGATATCTATTGAAATTCAAAGTAGGCAAAGGGCAAAAAATAGCAGGAAATCAACTATTATCAATAAAAGAATTAATATCCAAATCAACATTCAAACCTTGAGGTTGTAAAGATTTAAGCTCCACTATCCACTTAGTTTCGAGCTGGGACACTGCTCTCCTTTTATGTCCCCCCCTCCACTGCTGGGTAATCACCCTTCACAACAGTTGAGCAGATCAAGAACACTCTCCAGGAGGTAGGTGTATGTGTGTCAAAGTCAACAATCAAGAGAAGACTTCACCAGAGTGAATACAGAGGGTTCACCACAAGATGTAAACCATTGGTGAGCCTCAAAAACAGGAAGGCCAGATTAGAGTTTGCCAAACAACATCTAAAAAAGCCTTCACAGTTCTGGAACAACATCCTATGGACAGATGAGACCAAGATCAACTTGTACCAGAGTGATGGGAAGAGAAGAGTATAGAGAAGGAAAGGAACTGCTCATGATCCTAAGCATACCACCTCATCAGTGAAGCATGGTGGTGGTAGTGTCATGCCGTGGGCATGTATGACTGCCAAAGGAACTGGTTCTCTTGTATTTATTGATGATGTGACTGCTGACAAAAGCAGCAGGATGAATTCTGAAGTGTTTTGGGCAATATTATCTGTTCATATTCAGCCAAATGCTTCACAACCCATTGGACGCCGCTTCACAGTGCAGATGGACAATGACCCAAAGCATATTGCAAAAGCAACCAGAGTTTTTTAAGGGAAAGAAGTGGAATGTTATGCAATGTCCAAGTCAATCACCTGACCTGAATCCGATTGAGCATGCATTTCACTTGCTGAAGACAAAACTGAAGGGAAAATGCCCCAAGAACAAGCAGGAACTGAAGACAGTTGCAGTAGAGGCCTGGCAGAGCATCACCAGGGATGAAACCCGGCGTCTGGTGATGTCTATGCATTCCAGACTTCAGACTGTAATTGACGGCAAAGGATTTGCAACCAAAGTATTAAAAAGTGAAAGTTTGATTTATGATTATTATTCTGTCCCATTACTTTTGGTCCCTTAAGAAGTGGGAGGCACATATGCAAACTGTTGTAATTCCTACACCGTTCACCTGACTTGGATGTAAATACCCTCAAATTAAAGCTGAGAGTCTGCAGTTAAAGCACATCTTGTTTGTTTCATTTCAAATCCATTGTGGTGGTGTATAGAGCCAAAAATGTTAGAATTGTGTTGATGTCCCAATATTTATGGACCTGACTATTTCAGCTTTTTTAAATGTTTTTTTTTACTTTGTAAAATCTTTTAAAAACCGTTTTAAACCTTGTTTTTGAACCGTAACTTTCCAGATTTTAGGGTGTCTCAAAATGCGATAGCTAGTTTTCCTGACTACCCAACATTTTTCGAGACCCTGTGGAAAAATATGTACCCTAGACTATGCCATGCTGTACCCTATACTAATACTCCACTAGTGTGTAGTCCTTGAGGCAGAGGCTTGGTTGGAAAGGAGGGACAAAAAAAGTGGGCATCATGTCTAACTCTGTGTCTGCTACAGACACAACATCTTTTAAGGGGTGACTTCTGGGTTGGGGTACCAGGAATGGCATCAGGAAAATGCCTCTCATGCAGCTGGCTCACTGCATCTGAGTTGGGGGTTTGGGCCACAGCACCTTCTGGATACAAAAGTGCAGTGATGATCTCTTCCTGAAATTTTAGGAAGGATCCACTTTGTCTAGTTGCTTTGAAAAGCACAAAAGCATTGTACAGACCCAATTGAAATAAATATACAGACACTTTTTTGTACAAGCGTCTGGCTTTATGAGAAACTAATTACGGCTTCATCATCTGGTCGTTGAAGTCCACCCCTCCCATGTTAAGGTTATAGTCGTGAACACAGAGGGACTTCTCAACAACACCAGTTTCCGTGCAATTTTGGACTGTCATGTCTGCATGAATAGAAGACAGGATGAAAACATCCCATTTGTCCTTCAACTTCACTGTGAGCAATTCATCATTTTTCAAGCAGGCTTTCTCCCCCTTTTGAATTCGAAGTCAAATATTTACAAGCCTTTGGGGGAAGCCCAACACAGAACACATGAATCGGGTCTGTGGACCAATATGACTGCGACTCGTTATTTTTTAGTAATGCCTATGTTGAGGGTTAGGCCCCCAAAAACTTTAAATTCAGAAACCGTAATAGGTTTCCATGCAAATTGTCTGGCAAGATTTGAATTTGGGTTGGCGGCAATAAATTGCTGTGCATATAAATTGCTTTAGTCCACAATCAATCCATACAGATCCGTGAAAAACAGCTACAAAAAATCAAGGGGAGTAGTTACATTTACTGTTTCCACCTGAATTCCAGATTGAGCAGAAAATGGGGGAATTATGGGTGCTGCAGAATTTGTAGGCTGCCAATCAGGATTTGCAAGCACATCCGGAAGGACACTATGGGCTCTATGGGCCTGTGTTTGGATTTTTGGAGACTACTTGTGCTAGCCACTGCACCAGCTTGTAGTGAACTTATGGGACTCGCCACGCCAGCAAGTGATGCTGCAGTGCTGGTATGTAAAAGGCCAGGATGTACTAGGCCGCTGGTGCTCACCAGTTCACCAAAAGGTAGTGCGACACTAGTACTGGCACTCTGCTGCATATGAGAATCATCATGCTGTTCTAACACCTCAGCAACCTGGGCTTGGGTTTGGGTACACCTGACCTTAGCAGGGACTCCTACTCCGTCGCCTGAGCTATCTGTCAGGGGTCTGCTGTTCTCTACAGGTTTGTATTCTGAGGCAGATTCTGTCAGTGAGGCTTCCCCTTCACTCTCATCTGACATGCTTGGGATCCTTTAGGCCTATTCACTAGTGTACCTTTCATTGGACATTTTGGCCACTAAATTTATATGTACCTAGTGCAATTCACAGGGAAAAAGAGCACCTGGTTGTCAGGGACTGCTTGAACTGCTACAAAAAAAATTACCTGCAAGTGCTAGCAGAGATCAGGCCTGATCTTGCTAATGCTGCAGTTTTGTGTGTAATGTATCAAGTAACCGTGATCTCCTGACGTTGCACTTGCTGGGAGGTGGGGGCGGAGGGGCTAAATGCAGGTACTGCAAGGTATCAGGGCTGATCCTACTAACGCTGCACTTTTGGGGACACAATAGTATTGTGAATACTGGTACAGTTCTGATATGATCAAAGATATTGACCCATTCAGGAATTATACTAGCAATAGAAGTTTATAGTGTGTATGTGAGTGTGTTCCTGGCAATCAAAGGGTTAAATGAGATAGTAATGTAGTGGCAAGCAATATGGCACTGTCTGGGGGGAGCAATGACTGAAGCTAACTGACATTAATGCTATCTGAAGTTGCCCGTAACACTAATAGTGATCAGTAAAAATAATCTGTACTAACCACTTTACAACCGTGCTATAGCCAAATGATGGCTACAGTGCGGAGGTCCCTTAATGCGCCCCCAGCGGTGTGCATTGCTCCCTTAATGCGCCCCCAGCTGTCAGCGATTGCTCTGTCCTACAGACACAGATGATCACATGACGTGGTAAAAGGCCAATCATAGCGGCCTTTTAATACGTAATCAGCTGTGTCCAATGACACAGCAGATCTCAGTGTAAATACAGTTGCTGGTTATCGGCAGCACTTTCCTCACACTGTGAAATACTGCCGATAACTGGCAAATTTCACAGAGGACACCCACACTGATCATCAGGGCACTGATAAGTGCCCTGATCATCAGTGCTGCCCAGCAGTGCCACCCACCAGTGCCCAGCAGTGCCACTCATCAGTGCCCAGCAGTGCCACCCATCAGTGCTGCCCAGCAGTTGTGCCCATCAGTGCCGACAGTCAGTGCTGCCAGTCAGTGCCACCCATAAGTACCGCCTATCAGTGTCGCCTGTCAGTGTCAATCAGTGCTGCCTATCCATGCCACCTCATCAGTGCCCATCAGTGTTGCCTATCAGTGCCCATCAGTACTGCCTCATCAACACACATCAGTGAAGGAGAAAAATTACCTGTTTGCAAAATTTTGTTATAGAAACAAAGAAAACCTTTTTTTTAAATTGTTTTGCTCTCTATTTGTTTATAGTGCAAAAATAAAAATCCCAGTGATGATTAAATACCACCAAAAGAAAGCTCTATTTGTTTAAAAAAATAATTGTAAAAATTTCATATAGGCATAATGTTGCATGACCATGCAATTGTCATTCAAAATGTGACAGCACTGAAAGGTGAAAATTGGACTGAGCACAAAGGGGGTAAAAGTGCCCAGTAGGCAAGTGGCTAATGACACTGGTGACAGGGCAGTGAAAGGGTTAACTGGGGGGGGCGATCAGGGGCTAAACATCACCTAGCAGCGCTATTACTGTGTCATTGTAGTGCTTTGACTCACATGGATCTGCTTTCTTTTCTCTCTGGAACAGAATGTGCTCCAGAGAGAGAGGATTGCATAATTTCATGTGCCTGTGTGCTGTAAACACAGGCACAGGATGATCTCTGATTCAGTACAACTGATCAGCAGGTCCAGTTCAAAATCATTGGCCTGGATCTGGTGAGTGATCGGTACTGTACTGAATCACAGCACTGCTGGGCCGGCATGTGTGCCCCCTACCTGTCATCACATTGGGAGCGTGGATCATGTTTATATACTGTATGTGATTATGCACTGGGAGTCCACCTATAGAAGTAAATCTGCTATAGGGTGGATGGCAATTAGTTAAATAACATATTTGCAGATCCTCGTGCTGTACTGCCACTAATACAGGCATCAAAACACTGAATATTTCCTGGCTTTGATTGACATTTCCTGTATCTTTAATCTTTTTCAATCAGATACTGTTTTAAGCACTAATGCCCCATTGATGGGGGTTGTTTGAGCCCACAAAAAACTGTCTGCCTTTTTTTCTTTCAGTCACTACTGAAGTTAAATAAATACTTTTGGACCCTTAGAAACATTTGTTATGTGCTATTTCTGAACTCTTATTTTCGTAATCAGTGTGCCCCATTAGTCTTTAGCCTGCCCCCTTATTTGGTGGTCAGTATGTTCCTTATTTATTATTATTTAAGGTACTTATAAAGCGCAGTCCATTTATGCAGAGCTTTATATGTATAACTGTACATTCACATCAGTCCCTGCCAGGGGCGGACTGACAACTCATGGGGCCCCCGGGTAATAGGGGATCATGGGGCCCCTGTGTCCTTGCACAAACTCAAAAAAAAGCCTATGAAAAAGGTACCAGGGGCATCTCATGGGGCCCCCTACTGACCCCGGGCCCTCGGGCAGTGCCCAAGTTTTCAAATGGTCAGTCCGCCCCTGGTCCCTGCCCTCGAGGAGCTTGCAGTCTAAGGTCTCTAGCTCACATTCACACATACTAGGGCCAATTTAGACAGGAGCCACTTAATCTACCAACATGTCTTTGGAGTATGGGAGGAAACTGGAGCACCCAGAGGAAACCCACACAGGCACAGGGAGAACATTTTTTGGTCAGGGTGCCCCCCTATTTGTTGGTGAGTGTGCCTCCTCTCATTTCTTTTCTTATGGTCAGTGTGCTCCCTTACTTGGTCTGTGTGATTTTTTTTTATGTTCAGTGTGCCATTGTTGCCTTTTTCTTGACAGTCAGTGGGAGCAGTGTTTATTTACTTTAAGCGGAGTTCCACTCACCCTGTCAAAAAATAAAAGTCAGTAGCTACAAAAACTGTAACTGCTGACTTTTAAAAAAACAGCCACTTACCTGTCCCTTGGTCCCGCAGTGTTTCCCCCACAGCCCATTTCACTAGCCATCCTGTATTCAAGGAGGCCGGCATCTTCAGTGTGGGCACCCGGCTGTGATAGCTTGCGGCTTCACAGCCGGGTACCCACTGCGCATGCGCAAGTAGCGCTGCACTTCATAAATGGTCCTGTAGTCTTCTGGGACCTGTCAGGTGTCCCAAAAGACTAGAGGGAGGGAGGGAGGACATCTTCCACTTCTGATCACCTAGGTGATTGAACCGGAAGTGGGAGCGGGTACCTGTCAAATTCGGGTACCCGCCCTGCCCCCAAAGGTGCCAATCCTTAATGGGGAGCGGGGGAGCAGTTCTTAAAGCGGAAATTCCTCTTTTGGGTGCAGCTCCGCTTTAAGGAGTGCTGCAAAGGTCACTTGTCAGTTTGACTGCTCCTGTTTTATGAACAGTGAGGTTAGGCTGGAACTATACTGACTAGAACAAAGCAATGTACTTAAAAAGTCAAACTGACCTCCTTCCCTCTGGTTCCTACAACACTGATTTTCTCTTTAAGGCACAGTACCCCTTTCAATGGATCCTCATATTGCTTGTATTCAAACTACTGCCTTTCTCTTGAAACTACCTACTTATGTATAACTGTGAATCAGACTTGGTCTTTGTTGTTCATTTGTATTATTTACTGAAAAACTTCAATAAAAACAAGTTGAACTTAAAAAAAAAAAAAAAAAAAAAGTCAAACTTGTTCTATTAGATCTCGCTGAACATGCCCCCATGCCCAGATCTAGTGACATATGTGGCTTTAGCTTCTCACACAAATGACCAAGACCCTGATCTTGTGTACTTTAAGACCCATATGATACAGTGTACATACCCTACTAACAGTATAACCCACATGCTATATTGGTATTGATCATTTACCCCTCATCCTCCAACTTTGTCACTGATCTGTTTGTTCTGCATTCAAGAGAGAACATAAAAAACACTGCTGTTCCGCTATATAATGAACATACTGCAACTCATCGAATTGTGACCAAAGCCTACAGTGCAGTTGTGACAGATTAACATCAGTTGACAGACCTGACCTTTTCTTGAAGTCTTGCATTTTGGTGAGTGTACATTCTGATTCCTGGTAAGATTCATCTGAATGTGGATGACTGATTGTGCTTTCTACTTGCTGAGATCACTAAGTGCAAATTGACCTCTATGATTGCAGTGAGGTTTTGGATTTTCGTGAGTGTACACCCTGATTTCTGGTCAAGGTGGTGAAAAACTTTTTATCAGGTCTTTCATAATAAGAAAGTCTTCTGTACATTTTGAATAGCAAAAAACACACCTGCAAAAATATCCTGTCAAGAGCAAAAACCTCCTGGGGACAGATGAGTTAAGTTTTGTTGCACCAGTAAATTGATAAATACATTTGATTTTATTTCCATGGTGATTTCATTGAATTCTTACAAAGCAAGGTCTAAAGGTTGTAATTTATTTGCCATGATAAGATACACTTTGATTTTGAAAAGGGTCAGCAGTTGACTGGCCACCTTTCCAACTCTCCTGACCCTGTTTTCCCTGATTTTATTTCTATGGTATGTCATCAAATAATGGTAAAAAAGAGGGATTTAATAAATACAGGTAAATATAATTAAAGGGGTAATGGTAGCTGAGAAACAGGCCTGAGATTCAGTGTTTTTTTAATGCAGTAATGAATTTTAATGCCAAAGCTGTAATTTCAAACTTTTCATTTTCAACAAATATTCAAAGCCACATTCATAGCATGGAAATGATCTATTATTACTGTATATAATCTAATTAATTTAAATGTATATTCAATGTACATTCAGAACAAGAATATTTGACATTTAAGAAGTACAGCCTACCTGGACAGTAGCTCTGCTTTGCCCGGTTATAATTTGTGTGCCTGCCCCTTTGGTTGCCTGTACGGATGGGCTAAACATAAGTTCAGACTGAACATTTGCTGTCTGGTTGTTCAGACAAGATCTGAACTCTAAGGATATTTTGGTGAGAATTCCTCCTGCCAAACATCCCATAATGCATTGCTGGAGCAATATATTGTGTGCTGTATATTTGCTATTGCTACTTTGCAGTGGATCGCAGTTTGTGTGGATAGGGAAAGTGGAGTGGGGGGAACGTAGCCAAATTAGTGCTCTGACAGCAAAAACAATCAAGCACTGTCTGTTTTTAGAACAGGCTTTTAGAGTGTACCTCGTTCTTCAAGGTCTAAGCCAGTGGTTCTCAACCTTTCTAATGCCGCGATCCCTTAATACAGTTCCTCATGTTGTGGTGACCCCCAACCATAAAATTATTTTCATTGCTACTTCATAACTGTAATTTTGCAGTGGGAGGAGTAGTGCCATGTCATTGGTGTCAGTGGAAGGAGTAGTGCCCCATCACTGATGTCAGTGGGATGAATAGTGCCCCATTGTTGGTATCAGTGGGAGGAATAGTGCCCCATCACTGATGTCAGTGGGATGAATAGTGCCCCATCACTGATGTCAGTGGGATGAATAGTGCCCCCATCACTGGTGTCAGTGGGATGCATAGTGCCCCATCACTGGTGTCAGTGGGATGCATAGTGCCCCATCACTGGTGTCAGTGGGAGGAATAGTGCCCCATCACTGGTGTCAGTGGGAGGAATAGTGCCCCATCACTGGTGTCAGTGGGATGCATAGTGTGGGTGTCAGTGGGATGCATAGTGCCCCATCACTGGTGTCAGTGGGAGGAATAGTGCCCCATCACTGGTGTCAGTGGGAGGAATAGTGCCCCATCACTGGGATGTGTGCCCCAGTTGGGAGGAATAGTGCCCCATCATTGGTGTCAGTGGGATGAATAGTGCCCCATCATTGATGTCAGTGGGAGGGGGAATAGTGCCCCATCACTGGTGTCAGGGGGGGCATAGTGCCCCATCGTTGGTGTCAGTGGGGGACATAGTGCCCCATCATTGGTGTCAGTGTGGGAGGAATAGTGCCCCATCACTGGTGTCAGTGGGGGGAGGAATAGTAGTGCCCCATCACTGGTGTCAGTGGGAGGATAGTGCCCCATCACTGGTGTCAGTGGGAGGAATAGTGCCCCATCATCATTGGTGTCAGTGGGAGGAATAGTGCCCCATCATTGGTGTCAGTGGGAGGAATAGTGCCCCATCATTGGTGTCAGTGGGGGAGTATAGTGCCCCATCATTGGTGTCAGTGGGAGGAATAGGAATAGTGGGAGGAATAGTGCCCCATCACT